AAAAAGGTAGTATATAGGTACATAAGTAGTCCGGACAAAAAAAAGACTAACATCACACCACACTTCCAACCGCCAACACACAGCGAGGGTGACCTAAGGTTACAGGCCAACAGGACAGGCCCAGCTAGAAGTACGTAGTGACAGCTCTTGCCTCAGCGAAACTGATTAATCAAGTTTGCATCCTCGGCGAAGCGTTTGCCAGCCCGTGGCTATTTAACCCACCCAATAGTTCCCACGCTAAGCGGTGTGGTTCTAAAGGCAAATCCTAAAGGGCGCCCGCTGCGCCTGTTACAGTACATTATGCAATCGGGCGCACATCCCCCTGCTGCGCCGGGCCGGCCCATTGTCTTTTTTTTTTAATTCTGTTCAAACTGAATCAAAGCAAAAAACAGCGTCTGAGGCAGGGTTCGAACCTAGGATCTCGAGGTTCAAAGAGCAACGCACCAACCACTACGATAAGCCTTGATATGTGTCACTACTGTCATGTTCGGTTTATTCTTTGTCACGGTCGCGGAATCCCCCACTTTTGGAAACCGTTTTTTTTTGGAACAGTTTTTTTCTTTTTCCCATTCTGTATTTCTTTTTCAAATGCGTGAACTTTTTTTTTCAAATTCTATGAACTATTTTCAGATTGTTGAACTTTTATTTAAAATCAATGAACTTTTTCGAAATCGATGCATTTTTTTCAAAGTCGATGATTTTTTCTTCAAAATTGATGAAATATTTTCGCGAACTTTATTTTTTGTGAACTTTATTTCAAGTCGATGAACTTTTTTTAAATTGATGAACCATTTTTCAAATCTATGATTTTTTTCAAAATTGATAAAACTTCTTTCTACTTGATGAACTTTTTCTTCAAAACCAACGAACTATTTTCAAATTGATGAACTTTTTTACAAAACGGTGAACTTTTTTCAAAATTGATAAACTTCTTTCTACTGATGAACTTTTACTTCAAAATCGATGAACTTTTTCCAAATCGATGAACTTTTCTCAAAACAGTGAACTTTTTTTCAAAATGGTGAACTTATTTTCATAAAGGTGAACTTTTTTCAAAATTGATAAACCTTTTGTTAACTTGGTGAACTTTTCCAAATTAATTGAACTTTGAAGTCCGATGAACTTTTTTCAAAATTGTTGAGTTTTTTTCAATTTTTGCGAACTCTTTTTCTAAAACGACGAATTTATTCAAATTGACGATGTTTTTTGTAAATAATTCGGAAATTAAGTGATATAGTATACATGCAAGAAATAGTGCAACTGCACGTCCTTATAGTGTCGGCGCTGTTATCATTCACAGTAGGCACGTTGTTCTAGTGGTTAGGAACACTAGTATAGGGCGGCAGTGGCTTGAGATCGAATCTTGGGAGCGCCATCTTTTTTGCTGTTTTTTCGCTCTTAACAGCGTCCCGAACGGTTGCGTCGGCCTTGTTTGGGCCAGGCCCAGGTGGGAACCGCGTGGGCGCCAGTAAGCCTTAGCGGCGCTAAAGGCGCGGCTTAGGAGCTCCCGGTTCTAAACGGCGACCGAATTGCTGTGTTTTTTTTGTTCCCAGCCCACCAGCAGCAAAGAGCTCCGGATCACTGGGCCCTAGCCTTCGGCCCATCAGATAGGCCTTCATCAGAAAGGACAAAAAGAAAGACCTTCGCCCGTCCGCCGCCTCGTCGAACGCGGCGTCTCCTGGCACGAAGCTGCCCCCCGATATCGAGCACGCGCGTGGGCGGGATGCCGAGCACGGCGGCCGTGTCGAACGCCGCGCGCGTGTCCTCCACGGCCCGCGGTAAACGTTGGTGTCGGTCCCGCGGCCCACCAGCAGCAAAGAGCTCCGGATCACTGGGCCCTAGCCTTCGGCCCATCAGATAGGCCTTCATCAGAAAGGACAAAAAGAAAGACCTTCGCCCGTCCGCCGCCTCGTCGAACGCGGCGTCTCCTGGCACGAAGCTGCCCCCCGATATCGAGCACGCGCGTGGGCGGGATGCCGAGCACGGCGGCCGTGTCGAACGCCGCGCGCGTGTCCTCCACGGCCCGCGGTAAACGTTGGTGTCGGTCCCGCGGCCGCCGGTGTGCAAGGACACGCCGGCCACGCCCAGGCACGCGTGCTGCGCGGCGCGGAGGAGCGGCGCTACCTCTTCGGCGTGCGCGCTGTACTTGGTGCCGAGGTCGAACTTGGCGGCGCCATTGTCGCCGTTGATGCCGAGGATGAGCCGAGCGGGTTGCACTTGACGGCTCCGGGTTGCCTGCACGTCCGGCAGCGCGCAGCGCCAGCGCGCATGTACAGGTGGACGACCCTGGCGAGGTCGAGGACGTAGAAGGCGCTGCGCACGCCGGTCCGGATCCTGCGACGGCGTGCTTCTCGTTGGGCACGTCCCGCTTGCAGGGATGACCTGCTTGTCCTTCACCCCCGGCGCCACCAGCACCGTACCGCCTGCCATGCATGGGGCTGCTTCCGAGCATGTCGACCGCGACGACGTGGTCACACACTACGTAGTGAAAGAGTGCTGCAAGGTTATCAAACTAGCTAGCTTGCTAACTTTAATTGAGGTTGCTCGAGCTAGACGTAGACGCGATCGAGCAATGCAAGTTGACTCACCACATAATGATCTACTATTACATTTGTTCTTTCTTCGTCCCATAATATAAAATATTTTTACAAGCTAACACAGTTTAAAAAAATACCTTATATTATGAAACGGAGGAGGTACTACTAAGAATTGTGCCGCTCCTTGTATATGGTTCATGGGGATGCAGCTCAATCCGACCTTTTACGATGTGCTAGAGCCGAACGGAGTAGCGACATAAGAAGAGCAAGTGAGCAGCCGGCACGGCTGCATAAGAGATATATAGTCCACAGTTTGGCGTTCCACCTTTCACGAGGCAGTCGGCCATCCAAACCCTATTTCGAACATCTTGCACTTCGGCGCCCCCATATTTATCAACCTAGATGACACCTTGCATATTGTCGCGGGAATTTGTTACAATATATTTTCATGAAACTTGATTGTATGAACATGAATATTTAAATTAATAATATATTGCATATTTTTATCACAACATATGTGCACTCATCAGTAGATAGTTCCAAGAAAATACCGCATAAGTGTGGGAGAAGAAAAAAGAGAGAATTCCTTATTTAACACTATTTTAAATTTTGTGTCCTTATTTAACACTCAAAAACTTTTTCTTCCTTATCTAACAACGAATTAAAATTTTATGCCTTTTATGATACTTTCATCCATTTTGAGCCTAAATGACACCTAAAAAGACCCATTTGCTCCTCATGTGATATGTGTGTGTGTGAGGTGCAGTAGTATACACATAACATCAATGGGGCAGTAGCGCACACACACCCATCGGCAGGAGCACGCACACAGCAGCACACTGCACATACGCACGCGCGCACACAACAGCGCACACGCACGCAGCACACACGCAGCAGCATAAACACGCACATACACACGCACACACATACATGGCTATGTGTATTCTGTACGTGCAGCATAGACGTGTGGGTATTTAGAATTGTATGCATACAGCATACATCTGCTAGAGCCATAAGCCACATACGGAGTACATGCTACTGCCGTGTATGGCCTTCGATGCATGCATCCAATTGTACGCGTGGGCAATTTTGCCATGCACTACGTACAAAAGCAATGATAGATCATCTAATGTATGCATCCACTATATAATGTATCTAGACATACATATATTCTTCCTTGGAGATCCTGCACTAAAAGAAAACTCAGATATTTAAAATAGATTATGTGAGCTCCATAAGAAAATCCAACAATTAATAGTATAATAATTATTAATAAAAATGATAAAGAAATTATTGAAAAGCACGTGCACCCAAACATACCACTTGAGGGGCAAAAGGATATTTTCAAGTATCATTTAGGCTAAAAATGGACATAAGTGTTATAAAAGGCATAAAATTTAGACTCGTTGCTATATAGGAAAGAAACTATTTGTCGATGTCAAATAGGGCATAAAATTTAGACACAGTGTTAAATAAGGAATTCTCTCAAGAAAAAATGGATATGAAGGACATTTGCAAGCATGCAATTAATTTCTTATTGTGGGTGATGAGGTGGCACAGCTGCATGTGCTCTCAAATAGTTAGTGAGGGTTAGCTATTGAAATATAAAAGATTATTTTTTGTCCATGTTGGTCGAGACCAACCCGAGGACTGGTATTTTGTATGCGGGTGTGGTTAGGTCTCAGTCGACTAAGACTTAACCAAGACTTAACCAAGTCTAAGTCAAGTGACATAACATGTAAGAAAGAAATAATAAAAACTATAAAAAAAATTTGCTCGGATCTCAACGTAAGATTCTGTGAATATAGCATCGACTCGAACTTAAGTCTCACTCGACTGAGACTTAGCAGGTCCATTTGTATGCCGAGGTCGCCGAGTCAAGCGGGTAGCGGCCATCTTCCAAATGATGGTGTTGCATCGTTAATGCTATTGTTGGTTTGTCATTGAACCCAATCCTATGTTTATTCCTCGACAAAACTAATAAAAAGGATGCTCATTTAAAAATCAAGCTAAGAAAGGGATCACGTTCTCTTCGGAAAGAAATGATAGATGTCGCATACAGAAAGTAAAACATGCTGGATTAACACGATTTTCCACTTCTCCTCTTCGCATTATCACAAACATTTTTTGGATCTTTGTTACTCAAGAAACCAAAACAAATAACCAAAGCATATTAACAACACTAGCCTCACTTCTGAAAATCATAGGACTAGCTAGCTGATACACATTAGAGTAGACACTTGGGCTTCACTTGGACTCGTCGATCTGCAGTGAACCTTGCCATATGGCTTTGCAAGGTAAGATTTCCTCCTTGCCAGAGCAACACGTACCTCTCATTCCCTAGCTTGAACAAACTAATGAAGAACACCGTACTACTAAGCACGTAATATCTACATGTATTTACATTTACTATGATTACCTTTCGCTCATGGCCAGTTTTACAGTTTACATATGTTAACTTCGTCACCGGCCGGAGGACAGAGCGGGGAAGTACTCCTGGCTGTTGTTTGGTGCCGAGGGCGGCTGCCGGAAGCTGTCGTAGGATGTCTCCTGCGTCGCGCGCGTCGACGAACCAGTGCCTGTGCCGACGTAGCTGCCCCCGCTGCTCGTCGTCATCTCGATGTCGCTCAGGCTGAAGTGCGCCGCTCCCCCTTCCGGCGGCCACACGAAGGTCGGCTTGAACAGCGGCACCTCCGGCGGCGGCGCCTTCTTGGACACGATCTGCAGCACCTCCGGCATGGTGGGCCTGTCCCCGGGGTTGGGGCTGCTGCACGCGAGTCCGAGGAGCAGCAGCCTGTTGGCCTCGTCGGAGTCGTACCCTGCCGTGCCGAGATCCTGGTCCACGGCCCCGACCAGCGCGCCGCGGCCGTGCATCCGCCACACGAAGTCAACCAGCAGCGGGCAGGTCGCGTCGTCGCGCAGCGCGGTGCGGCCCGTGACGACCTCCAGCACGAGCGCGCCGAAGGCGAACACGTCCGTCTGGCTCGTGGCCTTGTGCCCCACGGAGTACTCCGGCGCGATGTAACCGCGCGTGCCGGCGACGCCGATGTCGGTGAAGGAGCTCCGGTCGAAGTCGATGACGCGGGCGAGGCCGAAGTCCCCGAGGCGCGCCGAGAAGGACGCGTCCAGCATGACGTTGCTGGCCTTGATGTCGCGGTGGAGCACCGTGCGGCCATACTCGTGGTGCACGTAGTGCAGGCCAGAGGCAACGTCGGCGACGATGCCGTAGCGGCTCGCCCAGCTGAGCGGCGCCGCCCGCTGCTCCTGGGCGCCGCCGCGCCGGAAGAGGTGCTGGTCGAGGCTGCCGTTGGGCATGTACTCGTACACCAGCAGCAGCTGCCCTTTCTTGTAACACCAACCTGCACCAAAAACGCAACTAGACGTTCAGAACCATCACCTAACCAATAATCTATTTTTGTTGCACCTTGGTCCTCAGATAGTAGAAAATTCAAAGAGACTATAGATATAACTACATTTGATCATTCACGTTTCGTGTAGCAAGTGACAATGCTACGTTTGGTAGCCCGTTAACGATTGCATAAACGCGTTGTGATCTGAATAGAGTACTGGCATCTACTCCATCACTTGGACTTGTCAATGCCTTAAAATACAAACGGAAGCAGCAAAACTAACTAGAGAACGGTTGATTAGGACTAAACCATCATTTTCCTAGTCAAGTCTCGGCTGATAAACAATGATCATGTGATTAAGTGAGGGATTCATGCACATACCAATGAGGGGCACGATGTTCTTGTGGCGAAGGCGGTTGATGATGTCCACCTCCTTGACGAAGTCCTCGACGCACCTGGCATCATCCCGGATGAACTTCTTCACGGCGACCTCGGACGGCTCCGTCTGGCCGTGCTCGGCAGGGAGCGTCCCCTTGTACACGACGCCGTACCCTCCTTTCCCCAGCCGCAGCCGCTCGTCGAAGTTCTTGGTCGCCTTCCTCAGCATCTCGTACGAGAACTCCCTCGGCATCCCCGGGAGGTGGCTCAGCGTGTGCCCCAGCCGCGTCTGGCTCCTCTGTATCTTGCGCCTCGCCCGCGACATTCTGGCCAGGAAGAAGGCGGCAATGGCGGTGGCGATCACGGCGACGGACGCGAAGACGGCGACGAGGATTATCCACTCCTTCTTCTCCTTCTTGGGGAAGGTCTCGATTGACATGCTCCATTCCAGGATGCAGTTGAGCTCGAAGGTGGTGCCCGTGGAAGCCGTGAAGCCGATGTATGCCTGCTCGGGGACGTGCTCGCTGAGGTCCAGCGGGCTGGCCAGGACCGGGGTCGCCGGCTTCGGTTTCCCCTTGCCGCCCATGTACACCGTGACACGCCGGCCCACGCCGTCGTACTCGATCCAGACGGTGTAGTTGGCGGACGTCTGGGCGTTGGTGGCGATGGTGATGTTGAAGTCGGCGAGGTTGGCCGTGGCGTTGGACACGACGCTGCCGATGTCGAGGCCGACGTGGTTAGCGCTCGGGTCGTGGCTCTGGTTGAAGGTGTCGAACTCGATCGCCACGAAGCGGTTCTTGGATGGGCCGGCGGCCTGCAGCGTCGCGTTGGTGAGGCCGAGGAACCCGCCGTGGCTGCCGGGAGGCGGCTTGTCGAGCGAGGGCGCGATGACGAACGCCAGGCCCTCGCCGGGGACCGCCTTGTCGTAGAACACGTTCATGGAGAAGGTGCTGTTGAACGACACGACACGGACACGCGGAGGCTGCGGCCGCGGCGCACGGCCGGTGCCGGTGCCGCCGTTGCCGCCACCGGGGACCTCGGTCTCGTCGTCGGGGAGAGTGTGCCAGATCGTGAAGGGCTGCTTGAGGAGGACGGAGCCGGATTTGTTGACGAGGTAGGCGTCGTTGTTGCGGGTGTCGGGCGTGAGCTGGAGCGCGCCGCCGTTGATGATGGCGTCCTTGAGCACCTGCAGGGTGGCCGAGTCGGTCCGGTCGAAGGAAGCGTACGGGCCGTAGCTCCTCACCACCACCCGCTCCTCCAGCTCCCGCAGCGGCCGCTGCTCCCTCGCGCTGCAGACGAAGGCGGCGCAGAGCCAGAGAAACAGCACGGCGACGAGGCAGCTGGCGCCGAAGCGCCGGAGAGAGTCGTGCCGCGCCATGGTGGACAGAGCGACTGTGGTTGTGTGGAGCGGGTGAGGGAGGGAGGGAGGATCCACGGTGTCGCCCCTGCAGGCTCTATGTATGTTGCGGCGAGGTGAGAGTTGGTCGTGCGGGCCGGGGGAAAGGGAAGGCGCACGGGAAATTCCTCCGTCCCTGCCGATCACGGCCTGACCGGGAAGGCGGAGCTCATGGCATCGTCGGGGAAACGTGGAGTACAGCGACGGCGTACGGTCAGTTGACATATTTAAATGCATGTGTGGGAAATGGCGGGGTGCCAGGTGCCCAGGTCTAACTATAGAGTTTCCCAGCTTTTTCTGCGCGTCCAAAAAAACATACTAGAATTGTATCTCACGGTATGGATGGTTTCAGTCATTTTTCTGAAAAGAATTGTCTATTATAAAAATTTACAGGAAGTACAAAGTATCTCAAATATAATAAAATTACGTCGAGATTCAGAGACCATCAAACAACCACCAATACCGTCAGAACGACCCATTGTCGCCGCTTCCCTATCAGAGCCAGCTTGACCTTTATTAATGGCGGCACTTTCAAAGACCAGCGCCCTAGATTAAACTTTTGTATAGATATATGAAGCAGCTGACATCAGATCGCGCTACATGTCGAGAAACCCTAACATCACTCCACCAAGGAGACGGGAGGACCGTACGCCAGAGCCCCATCGACTACATCCGAACCGACGAACTGGAGGGGGATCGAAGTCCGAAAGGCAAAATGGAAGAAGAAGTTGTCATTCACCCAAACGCCGCATCTACGAGGACAAAAACCATAATCTAAACTACTAATCAAAGTGGAGACATCGAGATTTTCCTTCTTGCCACCGGTCGCCGGAGTGGCGTGCAAAGGAGAGGTGAATTCATGGACTCGCCGATAAAGTCTGATAACAAGGATCACCCTAGCCGTCTAGGGTTAGGAGAGAGAAATGAGAGAAAGTTGTAAGAACGCCTCATGGTTTTAGTCATATTCGCGAACAGACATCCCGGTCGCCGTCGCTGGTGCGTGGGATCCGGAGCATGTTACGACGACGTGGGCAGGTGAGGTCCCGCTGAGCTGATCCAGGCACACCCTGCCTCGATCTGTTTTGGAACTTTGTCCGTGACCTGAACATACACGCCCAGCCGGTCGTCGCCGTCTTTTTGTTTAGCCACGGCTAGCTCGGGTGCGTGTGAACCCGCGCTGAAATGGGATAGTGCCGCCGAGGCTTGAATTTGAATAGTGTCTACGGAGTATTTTGCTTTGCTAGCATGGAACCGGTGCTACATTGCTATCTTTCAACCATCTACTATCCCTGGAACGAACTCATTCAACTTTTATATATATAGGATGAACTTGGTGCATTCGGAAATTTCTTGGCCTTCCAAGAAATTAGATTTGATGAATCAAGGCCACTCTGCACGCAAGTTTGACTCGCGTTGCGTGGGATGCCGTCGAACAGTGTCCGTCTTCTTTCAATATGTGGTCAGCGTTTGCCATTTAACCCGATCCTACATATTCCCTTTTGACTATTGCTCTGCGGCTTCAGTGCTGTCCTGCATAAGATGTTGCATTGACCATCTGGGTTTAGGTGATAGGAATTACGCCGGTGATGAGCGCCTGTTCTTGTGGTTAAACTTTATTGCCACCGGTATCCACCATATATACCAATCTTTAGGGGCGCTATGTCGAAGTGTTCAGTTGCACAACTTGCATTGTTATTATTAGACAAGTGCCTTCTATGCTCCAGTCTAAATTTTTGTCTAACCCTTGCTTTCTCAACAACAACAACAAAAAAAGAGTCTAACCCGTGCAGAACTTGACAACGTTATTTCATGGAGGTTGCGTATACAGAATTTAAATACAAGATTATCCTTGCTGAACACTCAAGTCCTATCGAACCTGCATGGGACTTCCCCTTCTAAGAAAAATGCATGGGACTTTCTCTGGCTTTGAGTTTATCCAAGATTGCCAAGTCTTGACCATTGAAATAATCCCTTCACATTAATCCCCTTTCTTTAGTCTTACGCCAATTTTCCGTGTGATGTCATAGCACAGGCTGACAGCACGCGCGGATTAAAATACTTGTGCGAAGTTTCCTCTGAAATTTGGAGATAACGTGTAATTTATTCACGTCGATAAGACATAGATTGCTCCTAATTGTTGTTGGCTTGTTCTTCGTACAGGTACCTCCCATCATTTCAGGGAATCATACTCATTTTCTGTATAATAAAGCAGGAGGGATGTTTGTTTGGTCAAGTACGCCCTGTCACCGGTTGCAGATATTTTTTGGCCAGGCTAAACATGCATTGTACAGAAAATGGAACAGGAGTGCAGGAATCAGCCGGCCTCCATGTAAAATAAGGAGCTCCGTCCATTTCGGCCGGCAAGCGCAGGCAGTCAAGTCGTCCAATGGTCCGATTCGGTTAGTAGTAGGCCGATGCAAGGAACCCTCCGGAGTCCAAGCTACCCAAAAGTCCCTCGGCGAATCACAGAGCACATGGTCAATGCTCTGTATTTCTCTCTGCATTATTCTAGTATCATACTGTTACTGTAACAGTTTGGATGACATGCTAGCGACCCGTAAGTTACATACTTGTCATATATATCTCCTGAACGCGTCTTGGAATAAGCACGATGGCGCAGCAGGACGGCAACAGGATTTCTAACAAGAACCTGAGAGGGACTGAAAGGAAACAGAATTGGCATTCGAACAGCTGCACCCCCTCCGAAAGAATATCAGAATTTACAAGTACAGTACTTAGTAAAAATTACTGGTACCGTCGCTTGTACGTCGTCGGAAGATAAAATGTTGCTATCATCTGGGCGCTGGTTACACGCATATTTTCTAACCCAGTCCATACGTGTTAGCAATACCTAACATCTTCAGCAGGCCTCCCTGAAAATAAGTTCTTGCTCTCTTCCGGAATAACAAGTTGATGCTTGGATAATGGCTTGCCAAACTAATCCACAGTTAGTTTTCTATCTATACTATGGGTTGCAACATGTATAAATATTGGGAACTGATAAAAATCTAACGTTGGATTTTAAAGATTTGGGGGCGAACGTCTTATGGACCTTTGATTCAAAACATGGATCTTAAAGCTAGGAGATTAGCCAGGTCAGCGGTTTCTTTTTGTTCGGAACACCATCATATCGTCGCGAACGTT